GGAACCAAACTTGTAGACAAACTGTTAGTTTGTTGGCCAACAAGCCTGGGGCTGGTGAATCGACAAGGTGACGCCTATGCGAATTGGAACCAAACTTGTAGACAAACTGTTAGTTTGTTAGCCAACAAGCCTGGGGCTGGTGAATCGACAAGGTGACGCCTATGCGAATTGGAACCAAACTTGTAACAAGGAGCCAACTTGTAGATTTGGTTTACAGTGTAGTCCCTTTAAGTTAGCCCCCAGGTAAAGCACATAATATATATTTTTAACACATAAACAGCACACCGTTAGAAAGAGAAATGTTGGACATTTGACATCACACAAACTGAAGTCACTTGTGACACTTCGTTTATCTACGGGAGGTGCTCGAAGAAATCTCGCTTCTCCGCACGGCTGAGCCCGGCCATGACGTTTGCACCGGACGCCTTCTTGTATGGAATCAGCTTTTGTGGATTATTAGGCTACCGGGAGACTGTGGTGTTTGTTGTACCACTAACCACTTCTCGTCAATCAAGATCACCCGTTCGAGCCATTCTTCCGCTTGACTGAGCCAGAAGGTGCACGCTTCCAGCCACGACACCAGGCTGTCAGCGGAGAGGACGGTCGTTAAAGTGACCATCCCACCTTAAAGGGACCCTCCAGGCTCCAACCTTCAAAAAAGTTAATGAATTGGCATGAAAGTGATGTATCTGAATATATCTGATAGCCCCCACCGACTTCTATTCACGTACCAAATTTCAGATTGATACCTCTTTTTTGGCCAAGTTACCTATAGCGAAAAAGCTGTTCAAAATTGATGACGTCAAATTTTGAAACTCATTTTTCTGCGATTCTAGACCACGTAGCGCAAAACAAAGACCACCATTTGACTCGCCGTGACGAGCTGCATCGAATCAATACCCAATTTATGCAAAACTATCGACTTTAAAATTTGCCCTTTTGACCTGACCTTGACCTGACCTCGACCAGGAAGTGACCTAAGCCGTTCCTGATGGTCTTATAACCAACACCATTGAGTTTGAAATGAAAAATTGGCCATAAAACATGCATCACACAGCCCTAGTAAGATTGGGTTCCGGTTCATGTGCTGACCCTTGGTAACCTGACTTGTGACCTGACCTGGTACTATCAATGACCTCTAATAGCAACATATGTACTAGGCAACTGACGCCCCATCGCTGATTTTCGATAAAATGCGTTTTACTCCATGTTATAGCGCATTCCCTAGAAGACCCGTGACCGGCAAAACATTTTATCTTTGACCTGACCTGTGACGTCATTGGTGACCCCGAGGTCAATAAAATTAAATTTACCTCGACAAATTTGACAGGGCTTTCGAACACCGTTTGAATTTTGCGGATCCGTCTATAGTAGTTTCGGAGATACGAGGGGGATACGTTATATACGGGGATACGGAGATACGTTATAAACAGACCCCACCAGGGCTCGGGTTAAGCATTTGACGCACCAGACGAATCCTTGGACGCATTGACGTCAATTTCTAAAATGCAAACACGAGAGCTATCTATTGAAATGGTTTCGTTTTGTATAGGTTTGGTGCCTGAGCCCTAGAACATTAGCCTCATGGCACTGCATGGTAAGAAATCAGAATGGCTTTGATAGCCTAAAACAAATCATCAGCCCTACCAATAATTTTCGCAGTGACGACCGTGTTTAATGAAGTGTTCATTTTGCGCCATTTAGGTGACAAAAGAGCAGTGGTAACGTTAACATACGCCATACTTTTGATACCTTTGCTTCACTAATTAAGGAAAATATATGCGCATTTTTACGATTCCTTCACTACACGCCACTTGTCACTATCCACCGATCATTTGTTATTATCATAGCTCCTACACTTTCTCAGTAGCCGGTTGGAAATCAAAGAACCCGGGAAGTTAGTATACGGGTCCAGTTCATCATGATTTCGAATTAATGGTAAATGGAATACGACATGCAAATGACGTAAGTAATTCTTTAATGGCTTTTCTATTTGTGTGGATTGTGGAACGCTCGGCTTGATTGAAAACAGTATGCAAACTGCTAGCTACTGCTAACACCTCCCTGTGCATGACCCGCCTCAGTTTGTAAGCGCGGCGGCACTGCTACCCTGGCGCGCGCAAAAACATACCGACAGTTTCACACACGGACAACGCGTTTCACTCACAATACGGCCAGTTTTACAACGTATTTCCAGCAATTTGGTCCACACTGCCAGTTCTCCAGGGTCTGACGGTCCACGTTTTGCCACATGGAAACGATTCAGGCGAGCTATAAAGCCAAGTTTCCTTTGCAGGAAATGCTGATAGGAACAAGTTTCACAATTGCTTTTGATTTATATTCATAGATTACATACATGTTCATAACAACTTTTTCATGTTATCCAATAATCATTCAATTGAAATGGGAAATTGAGACTTTTAGTCTGTACGAATGGAAACACCTCAGAATACTTTAAGAAACAATAAAGGGAAGCACACTGTACTGTCTTAAAGGGACCCTCCCACCTTAACATAAGATTTGAGTTGAGATAGCCAAAATGGGGTCCCTGGCTCACAATTACCGGTTTCGGCACTCACAACATCGAGAAATGCCTTAAATCGGAAATATTGAATTTCAAAATTGCAGCATTTTGATTCAGAGGGGCTAATGCATAGGAATACCCCTCTGAATGTGTGACGTCAGCGCAGATATCTAACGATTTTTAAATGTTCGACTAAAACGTTTTGTAGCACGCGGTGGTATATGCTGCTTTGCGCGCAACAAGTGCCGCACTTTCAGCTGCCAAACTATTGCTTCCAAATAAAGTCGCTAGGAACAGCGGAGATCCCAAAAAGTAAACAAAAGTAAAAGTCTAATATCTTGAAAACTGGTGAATATTTTTCGATGAAATTTGGTAGATATTCGTTTTCGCTCTTTCTGAACCGAGCGACATCACTTTCATGCCAATTCATCAACTTTTTGAAGGTGGGAGGGTCCCTTTAAAACCCTCGCCGGCCGAGGGGGGGGGGGGCGGGTGCCGCCCCCTCATAGGTTTTTTTTTTCGCGATAGCTCCGAACACGCTGGCGATAGAGAGCTGAAACTTGGCATACCTGACCTTTGATCCAAGCCAGATCTTATGACACCAACAGCATTTTTGGGTCAGGTCAGGTCACTGACCTATCACGTCATAAGTGAACCTCTGCACGGTCTTCAGATGTCGCAACTTCGCAACGCCCTCACTGCCAGTGGAGATGTCACAACTCACAGGGAAATAAACTTGCAGGATCTAGTATCCATTATGAGTCTCACAACTTGTATATCTCGGATTTTTCCTAAAGGTCATATGAGGTCAGGTCATTTTCGTGACCTCACCATTATAAGTCAATGGGGAAAAATGAGAACTGCTATTCTGGCGCCGGGAACGATCTCCAACTATCTCAAGCACACAGAATCGTGATTTGTTGCACTCCTTGCAAGATTAGATGCGTCACTTTTGCAATGTTGACCTTGCGTGACGTCATTTATGACGTCATCAAGGTCATATTAGTTTTTCGTCAATAACTCTTGATCAAATTGAGCTATCGAGTCGGGAAAGCCACCAATGGACTCAGGAAGACCTGCCGAATCGAATGATATGCGCCATGACCCCTTTCGACCAACTTCGTGACCTGGGGGTGCTGACCTGACCTTGACCTGAGGTCAACACCCCAAGTTGACCTGACCCGAACAAAAAGTATATCATTCGACGCGCCTGAGCAAGGCGAATACGATGCTGCCAAAATCGCGGCTCTGCGACCGTTTCTTTGCGAAGTTATTCACCAAAAACTGAGCCGTACCTTGTGGCACTTGACCTGACCTCAGAGGTCACCGGTTGACCTAGGACCTTAAAATCGGGTACCAATCTCTGCGTCTCGTAACGGCGCACACGCTCGTTTCTTCCGCGACACGCTAGCCCCACCAGGGGCGAAACGGCGAGGGGGGGTCGTACCCGCCCCCCCCCCCTCGGCCGGCGCGTATGTAGAAAACCAATAGGTCCGGCGAGGGAGTCAGATGACACGCAACTACTTTTTTCCAAATTGATGTGTCATTTTGTGGCGGATCAGTAACGGTGTAAGGGCGGATCCGAAATAACGGGTAGGTATTTCGGATTTCGGAGGTAGGTACATAATTATACGTCTATGTATGTATAGTCAATAGCCATGCCGTAAATGATCTGAGAGGACTCAAATATTTCGCTGAGTAGGCATGCGCACATGGGTGTGGGAAGTGTAGTTAAAAAAGGCATTCGAAATTAACCAATTTAAGGCCAGGGAGACAAACGCGTTTTCCCCTTCCAACTGCAAACGAGGAAGGAGAAGAATCGAAATTAAAGTGAATCGATCAAGCCTAGATCTCGGCGTCATCTTGAAGGTGTTTGGTGTTTATCGATAGATAGGCATTCGATAGCAGTATTCGATAGTCGATGGTAAATTCTTCATAACCTTTTGGTTGCCATAACCCATTCACCAAATAGGTCTTACAGAAATAACAAGTAATTAATACAAATAAGGCAAGTTGTAGTTAATCTTTTCGTTCCTAGACCACCTGCGCGATCAAATTCGCTGTGATGCTGCTCGCGGGCTCGGAAGCCCGGTTGGACGCCTTGTTGGGCGGACAGCGCTGGCCGCCACTGATCGCTGGTCGCAGCTCGTGTGGAAGGTCCTCCTGTGGAAGCGGAGGACCGGCGGGCAGATCGCAGACCTCGCGCTGCTAACAACCGACCCTGGAGCCGCCCTGGGCAGCTCCAGCCAGAGCGTGCCACTCGGCCGTCTGCGGGGCTGTAACTCGCCCCCGCCAGGGTACGAGAGGCGCTGATACGTGAGCCACGTACGGAGGCACGTGTAAATACGTGCTGCGTGCTGTTCGCTGCCGGGCGGCGGGCCGTCATCACAGCCCCGTGTCCAGGTAACAGCAACAACAGGCGGTGGCGACCGGCGGCGTGCAGTGCGGTGGACACACAGGCCACGCTCTGGTCACCATGCGGCGGCCGCTACTGGTGCTGCTATGCGCGGCGGCCGCGGCCGGCGCCGGTCAGCCCTCCTTCCAGCTGCTGTCCGGGGTGCTAGCCGCCACACCGTTCAAAACGCTCACCACAATCTCCAATGTGGCGTGCTCGAGTCGCTGCAGCCGGCTGGCCTACAGCAAGTGCGCGGCCTACTCGTTCGCCGCCAATGGCACCTGCTGGCTGTTCAGGACCACGTGTCTGCAGACGGAGCCGAGCGCCGACCACCCGGGCGTCGTCAGCTACGCCAAGCCGCCGGAGCCGAGCCGCTGGTGCCCCGACAATCAAGGAATAGCCTTCGACAACCGGTGCTTCATGCGCCGCCACGCGTTGATCCCACTGACGTGGCAAGCGGCGCAGCAGGCGTGCAAGATCCGTGACGCCTGCAGCCACCTGGCCATGCCCACGCACCGCGCCGCCTTCCTGGCACTGTGGCACTTCAAGCGGCCCAACGCCTACGAGTGGATCGGCGCTGAGGACCCGGACGGCGACGGCGTGATGAGCAACATGGACGGCAGCAGCAGCTGGACGCCGCCCATGTACAGCTGGGCCAGCGCCGGGCCCATACTGATGCCCGACCGCTACCTGAGCGAAATCCACCGCACCACAAACGTCAACAGCAACATCCACTACTACATCTGCGAGGGCGACCTGCGATGTCGCATGAACGCCCCGTGCCCAGCCGGCTGGTTCCTCCTCGAGCAGTACTGCTACCAGTACTTCACCGAGAGTCGCATCTGGCACGACGCCAACGCCTTCTGCTCGACGCACGGTACCAACGGCCAGCTGGCCAGTCCCGGCAGCAACGGCATCTGGTTGGTGCTCTGGGACAGGCTACTCAGCAACACCGAGACGCGCGTGTTCATGGGCGCCCACGACATAGGCCGCGAGGGCCTGTGGTACACGCTGGACGGCGGCGGCGTCGGCGTGCCCTGGCACAGCTCTCAGCCCGACAACGCCGGCGGCGCAGAGCACTGCCTGGAGATGATTGGCGGGGCGGCCAACGACATCCCGTGCGACCACCTGCGCCACTTCATCTGCCGCTCCGACGCCCAGCTCTGCTAGCGCTCCGTGCTGTGTCCCATACAACACCTTCTCCAGCTCCTCATCTAATTTAGTCCCGCTATCGGCGTCAGCCCTCAGGCATGCCGAGATACACTGGAGCCATGGTTTATATGGCTTCGAGGCGGCCTGCCAGCCACAAAACAGAGATGCTCGACGGTTTTTAATAATATTTTTGAGAAAATCACTAATCAGGACAATATTTCAGTAATGTCAAAAGTTAAATGATCAATCAATATACGATGTCAGATTTTTGCTATTTGTAAACCCATGCTCTCCACCGTGCCACTGCACAAATACCTATCGCATATGTGATACTGCACTGACCGCGGGTGGCGGTCAGAATGTTAGGTAGGCCTGGGTGGCACGCGTGCTTGGACCCGGTGAAAATCCGGGCGAGAGGCCGAGTGGGCCTCCCTCCATGTGGTCCTAGCGGAGAACCCAATTGCTGAAATGAATAAAGAACACAATAGGTGATGTTATATTAGATAGGTATATATGTTACAGGGAGTATGCGATTTCAGTTAGTTTGCAACGACCCTAGGGTGGTTGTAACCTCCCTGAACGATCAGTTTGTTTGCAACGACCCTAGGGACGTTACAAAATAACTGCTCGTTCCGGGACGTTGTAACGAAACTAGGGTCGTTGCAACCTCCCTAGTTAGTATGCAACGAACCTAGGGTTGTTACAAAATAACTAGGGAGTTTAAGAATTCATCGAGTCTTGTTTCACAGGAGGGCCGTCAACAATCTTGACCAATGAAAATCTTATGAGCATATTTTTAATTGACCGAATCCTCAATGTAATCTGAATAAAATGACAAATAGCAAAAATTCGGGTATATTCGATCACAGATCTTTGTCAACCCTGGGTTGACAAAGATCTGTGATCGAATATACCCGAATTTTTGCTATTTGTCATTTTATTCAGATTACATTGAGGATTCGGTCAATTAAAAATATGCTCATAATCATCAATATGATTTTCCTCACTACGCTAAACTCTCTTCAATGAAAATCTTGTTCAATCTACATAGTTCAGTATAAAAGAAAAAGAGAACAAAATTTGAACATTCAGCCAAGGAGTATATGTGGTGCCCGGGACAAACCACGTAACTGTGATAATTTTGGCTGCATTATATCGCCAGCATATGCTTATATGTAGAAAATATAGTTACTGGGGTATGTGTGATGGATATCCGTCGCTATCCGTTTGCGGGTTATCCCTCACACTTTTAGGGGTGCGGGTCGGATAAAACCCCTCGTTTTATTTCGCGATTATCTCGCGCTAAAAGCGGCCGATCGTGACGAAACTTGGAGTGTCCTCGAACTTATCTACGTTACTGGTTACACATTCCCTATACAGTTCATGATCCTGAAACCAATCGCATTTGATCTTTGATCTGATTTCTGAGACCATGGCAGACCGAAATTATTTGCCATATATGTTAGCGCACATAAAATTGCGTTTCCGGACTTCTATTATGATTACATATAAACGTGCCAACATGTGAACTGATGGTTGTCCCATGCATCATGATGGGTTTCAAGTTGAATTGTCAGTTGTCGGCCAGGTCAAGGTCATTGACGTTTGGTGACTTCGGGTGACTGTTTCAAATTTTACGATTTTAAGGGAATTTTTTTAGCTTATTTTGAATCCAGCATTCGTTGAGACATTTGAGAAGTACGTAGGTATAGTTGTAACGCCAATGCAACTTGCTACGAAGCTGTCGCCGGTGGTTTAGGTACACCTGCTAATATAAACAGGTTGTGCGGGTGGGACGCTTCTACTTGACCCAAACTTACCCAACCCAGCCTGGCTTTATCCTCGCCCCCCCCCCAAGTTTTTTTTTTTCTCGCGATAGCTCCGAACACGCCAGCAACAGAGAGCTGAAACTACGCATACCTGACCTTTGAGTCAAGCCAGATCTCGTGATATCAACCAGATTTTCAGGTCAGGTCAGGTTACTGACCTATGACGTCATAAGTGGACGGTCCTTAGATGCCGCAACTTCGCAACGCCCTCAGTCCCAGAGGAGTTTTTACAGGGTGATGAAGCTTACAGTACGTGCATCTTCTAGAAGTCTCACATTGTACCTCTAGGATTTTTCCTAAAGATCACATGAGGTCAGGTCGGTCACGTGACCTCACCACTAAAAGTCCATTAAGAAAAATGAAAACTGCTATTCTGGCGCCGGGAACGATCTCAAACTATCTCAAGCACACGGATCGTGATTTAATGCACTCCTTGCAAGGTTAGATGCTTCAATTTTGCATTGTTGACGTTGCATGACGTCATTTATGACGTCACTAGGGTCATACGAGCTTTTCGTCAATAACTCCCGATCAAACTGAGCTAGCGAGACGGTTAAGCCACCGATGGACACAGGAAGACCTGCCGAATCGAATAATATGCAACATGACCTCCTTTGACCAATTTCGCGACCTAGGGGTCTTTGACCTGACCTTGACCCGAGGTCAACACCTCAAGTTGACCTCACCCGAACAAAAAGTATACCATTCGATGTGCGTAAGCAAGGCGAGCACGTTGATGCTAAAATCGCGCTCAGCGACTGTTTTTTAAGAAGTTATTAATCAAAAACCGAACCCGTGTCTTGGGTCACTTGACCTGACGGTCACCGGTTGACCTGAGACCTTAAACTCGGGTACTAGTTGCTGTGTCTCCTAACGGCACACACGCTCGTTTTTTTCCGCGACGCTCTAACTCCATCAGGGGTGAAAAACGACGAGAGGGTCGTACCAACCCTCCCCCCCGGCCGGCGCGTACACTGTAAACCAAATTGACAAGTCTTGTGTAATATAACCAATCATCTCTTGGTATGTTTACCAACTGATACTTTTCAAACAAGCCGTTGTCTGGTGCATTGCTTGTCAGGTGACAACTACGAGTCAATAGTTACTATGCACACCAACTTCTCAGTATCCAGACCAACTCTACATTTGTTTCAACGTTTGTTTCTTAACCAGTTTTGGAAACTTGTTGCCGCATGGTTATTTAACCGGCGCCTAACTTGTACTGGTCAGCTGGTCAGCATACACATGGTCAGCTGCGCCCGTGACGTCAGACTTGGCGGACCAATCAGCGGTCGCCGTCCGGCCCCGGCGCGGCGGTTTCAAACCGTTCAAACCAGCAGTTGTCGCGCGGCCGCCGTGCAGCATGGATCAGCGACGAGGGCTGTTCCAGCATTTGTGCAGTAAAAAGTGAAATCTGTGAACTGTGGTGTTCGTGCTGTGAGTGAGGCCCGCTCTGGCCTGCGGGACGCACTAATCGTGCCTATACCCGCTGTCGAGACGCCTCCCTTCCCCTGCGCGCGCAATGTAAGTGGGCCAGACCTTTGCATGCACATGTGAGCAGATGTTTTGCGGTCGGTGTTTTTTTATATATAAATACATTTATTTGCCTTTAATTCAACTCTTTGTATTTTTAACTTAACTGATGGACATAAATGGGCTGTAAAAGCTAATCTGGTTGGCGATCATGCTTTATTCGAATTATCTGCGTGATCGTGCAGCTGCCATGATTGTTATGGTCAATGTGGAAATATTCGTCATACGGGCATGTTATACTTCTGGCTTGATGCGATGCACAAAACCATGTTCTTCCACATACGCAGCAGTTCTTGCTTCAAAGACTTATATGCTGACGGTGCACGATAGGTATACCTTATACCTCATGCATTTACCACATCCATTCGAAAATATGCACTTGGAATTGTCTCCAGTCAATAGTATTAATTACATACTACGTGATGTAGGTACGTGACCGTAATAAATACTAATGATTCCAGAAACTTCCGAATGGATGTGGTGTATGCATTCATCGATTATATAACCCATCAGTATTTCGTTTCTTGTCAGCGCAAGCCTTTGAGCAATAACTGATGCCAGTCATGATTTTGTGCACCACTTCCAGCCAAAAAATGACCTGTCCGTATAGAAAATATTTCCTGAATCAGTATCGTGGCAATTGAAAACGAACGCGAATCGTAAGTTCTTAAGGTTATCAACGCAAACAAAGCGATTGTAAGAAAGAACAAGTTCGAACTGAGCGTTAGTACACTTACTTGTTGACAATTTGTAAACTAGCAATGCCCAGTCAAAGGCTAGTTCATCAACAAACCAGGGGTTGTTGAACCGACAAGGAAACGGCTATGCCTATCCAGAAGTTGGTAGGTTCACAAGGCCCAAACTAGTACTCAACAAGGTGACGCCTATGCGAATTGGAACCAAACTTGTAGACAAACTGTTAGTTTGTTGGCCAACACGCCTGGGGTTGGTGAATCGACAAGGTGACGCCTATGCGAATTGGAACCAAACTTGTAGACAAACTGTTAGTTTGTTGGCCAACAAGCCTGGGGCTGGTGAATCGACAAGGTGACGCCTATGCGAATTGGAACCAAACTTGTAGACAAACTGTTAGTTTGTTAGCCAACAAGCCTGGGGCTGGTGAATCGACAAGGTGACGCCTATGCGAATTGGAACCAAACTTGTAACAAGGAGCCAACTTGTAGATTTGGTTTACAGTGTATGTAGAAAACCAGGTCCTGCGGTGTTAACTCTCGCCCTTATTGGTGTTTTGCTAGCCGCAAACGCACAGGGCGGGGATAGGTTATGGGTTGACCTTCCAGGTCAGGTCAGTGACTCAAAAGTCGGGAAAATCGGGACCTGTTAAACTTTGGAGAGTTAGGTTGTTACGAGTTTTTTTTTTCGGGGCGCTGATCACGAATTTCATATTAGCTTTGATCACCGATGATGTCTTGATGTTTTTAGGCCAGGTCGGGTCAGGTCAGGTCAGGTCAACCAGTAGGTGTCTTGCTAGCTGTCCATAGTAGGTGTCAATCATCACTGGCAGCTTCGTGACATGGTACGAAGGCGCCAAAATTACTTCTTTAATGTTCAAATGGGTGCTAAATTCGAAATCAGCTCCAAAAACTAGCCTAAAAATATATGAACCCAGAAAAAGTGAACTAAGGTCATCAAAGGTCAATGACA